CATAGATTTCAGAATCATTTGGGGCTAAGTTTATTGCATTTCTCAACAATAGAGATTGGCGTAAATCACTTTAATACCATACAGAAGGGAGAATTACAAGTCAGAGACAGTAGAGAACTCTTCATATTTGGTATGTGTTAATTGTGTAGCAATACAAAGGTCAAACTCAGCCCAACTACTTTTAGGTCGGTTATTTCTTCTGTTACACAGTTGACATTAAGTATCAGACTTGAGGAAAAAAAGATTTCAAAATGAGAATGACACCTAGTTGTGGAATGTGGGAAGTAGGAAAAAGCAATACTGGAGGTGCTTCAGTTGTTGGGGTCCTTATTCAGCATGAGAGTCCTAGAAACTTTGGAGACAATGTAGAGCTTGATTTAGTGTAGAAATGGACTTTCTGAGTTGAAGGAAATGTGTTGCCAGGAAGAGGGGGAGTACCAAAACATATGCATTCTTGGAAGTCTTACTTTTGAGAAATATCTCCCAAATTCAGTTTTAGTTATTCTAATTTGTAAGTTGTTGACCAAGATGTTTTTGAGTGATGATGGAATCTCAAGGTGTCATTACCTTCCAAGTTATTTCCCAGCACATAAAACACGGTCAGATTTCTGTTGATTTTCGTCTTTTCTTCTTTGTCCCCTTCCCACTTTCCTCTTCCTTCTTTTGCTCCACTCCTCCTTTCTGTTCCTTCATTCATCTCCCTTTTTGTAAAGGGTATTCTCCTTACCACAACTTCTTTCCCCTCTGCCTTCCCCATCTCTCAGTTCTGTAGAAAAACCATCTTTTGTCTCTTTAACCTCCTTTAGCTGATTGTCCCCCTTTCCTTTCTTTTACCATTAAACTTCTTAAAAAAGAGACTGGTAGTTATTGTCATTCTTCACTTATTTACTTCTTAACGCTTTGTCTCCTGACCCTCTGCTTCTGTGTATCAAACTAGTGGCTTTTTCTCCTTCATTTGTTTTCTCTGAAGCAGTTATAACCTTCCTGATCCCTACTACCTTGAAATTCTCCTTACCCTTCTTTTGTGATATTGTATTATCTTGATGCTTCTTTTGCCTCCTTTTTTCATGTCATCAATATATCTAAAAAGTGAAGTCACTATCTTCTAAATTTGTTCTTTCGAGCTTCTTTCTTTGGGTTAATAGATATGTTTTCTCTCATTTATCAAGGTTTAAATTTTCCTGACCCATCTTTTCCCCTTATTCTTTTATTCAGTAAGTATTTCTGGAGTACTTAATATATACCAGGTTGTTGTTCTGGGTTCTGGGAATGCAGCCAAGAATAAGAGACAGAGTCTCTGACTTGTGAAGCGTACGCTCTATTGGAGAAGACTGTCAATAAACATAGCTAATGTCATATAGAGAAACATTAAAGGATAAAATATGCTAAGGATCATAGGCAGTAATGAGAGTGTGTGTTTTGCATATGGTAGTTTGGGAAGGTTTCTCTGAAAAAAGTGATATTTGAGTAAAACCTGAATGAAGTGTGAGAGTAAGCTATATGGGTATCTGGGAGAAGAGCTTCCATGGCAGAGTGTGAGATGGGCTTATGCTTCCCTGTGTTGAGGAAAAAGCCAGTGTGATTGGAGCAGAATAAATCAGCATGATTGGAGATGAAGTCAGAGTAGTTGGCAAGGGAAGATCTTGTTGGGACCCTGTGGGCCCTGGCAAGGATTTTTGACTCAAAATCTAAATCTAAATCTAAATGTGTTGGGTGGGCTTTGGAGGGTCTTGAACAGAAGAATGTAATGTTATCCGACTTAATATTTTAGAAGGATCACAGTGATGACTGTGTGGAGAATAAACTGTGTTTTTGGGGAGAGGCGGTGGCAATAGAGAAACCTGTGTCACTAGGAGACTATAGTTTTTTTTTTTTTTTTTTTTTAAGACAGAGTCTCACTCTGTTGCCCTGGCTAGAGTGCCGTGGCATCAGCCTAGCTCACAGCAACCTCAAACTCCTGGGCTCAACCGATCCTGTCATATAGAGTACTGGAGTACTTAATATATACCAGGTTGTTGTTCTGGGTTCTGGGAATGCAGCCAAGAATAAGAGACAGTCTCTGACTTGTGAAGCGTCCACTCTATTGGAGAAGACTGTCAATAAACATAGCTAATGTCATATAGAGAAACATTAAAGGATAAAATATGCTAAGGATCATAGGCAGTAATGAGAGTGTGTGTTTCGCATTTGGTAGTTTGGGAAGGTTTCTCTGAAAAAAGTGATATTTGAGTAAAACCTGAATGAAGTGTGAGAGTAAGCTATATGGGTATCTGGGAGAAGAGCTTCCATGGCAGAGTGCCTCAGCCTCCTGAGTAGCTGGGACTACAGGCATGCGCCACCATGCCCGGCTAATTTTTTCTATATATTTTTAGTTGTCCAGCTAACTTCTTTCTATTTTTTTGGTAGAGATGGAGTCTCGCTCTTGCTCAGGCTGGTCTCGAACTCCTGAGCTCAAATGATCCACCCTCCTCGGCCTCCCAGAGTGCTAGAATTACAGGCGTGAGCCACCGCGCCCTGCCATGAGACTATTATAGTCTTGATGAGAGATGATTTGGAGTTTGTTAGACAACTTAATGAACATGTGAAATTACACTCTTGTGGAGGTCAGATATGACCTTGAGGTGGAGAAAATACCTCTGGGAGTCATTGGGGTATAGATGGGAATGGATAAGATCACCTAGGGATGAATGAGTGTGAATGTAGATAAGGAAGAGGGATGGGAGAACAGAACCATTGGGCCCTGTGAAGTGTAGACACCTACAAGAAGAGGCTTTATCAAAGGATGTTGAGAAGTGGTTAGTGAAATAGGAGGAAACTAAGTGAGGAGAAGGGGATTCAAGAAGGGAAGAATCAGTTATGTCAGATGCCTAGGAAATGGAATAATTTAAAAGCTGATAATTGACCTTTGGATTTGGCTTGCTAAATGATTCTGCTTTGCAGTACAGCTCTAAAATTCATAACATACCTTTTCATTCCCTGCCAACAAACACTATTAATTATGCTTTTCTCCTGTACTGTTTTCCTCTTTGGGATTGTTACTTTCTCTCCTGAGAATAATATAAAATATATGCTGATTGTAGAAAATTTGGAAAACTCAGAGAAAGTATTACGAAGATTAAAAAACAACAGCAACAATAAAATCCTTATCCACTTACCTTTAGAAATAATCACTGATAGCAGTTTGTTGTATTTTTTCCTATTTATCTATGCATCTTTGTAATGCATATATATATGCTTTTATGTAGAATTGATGAAAGTCTTAAAATTTGCTTTTGTAAATGAACATAGTAGACCTGCTAATCTAATGTCAAAATTTTTTTGAGGTTTTATGTGAATGTGTGGTAACATAAGTATTCTGTCATGGTGGAATAGCCTAATTGGACTTTCAACCTGTCTCAACCCTAATTATATCTTAAATTAATCTTGATTAATTTTCTTAAAGCATATTCTTCTCTAAACATTGAGTGCATAGCATAGTGGTTAAAAGGTCTGTTTTTGAGAGTAATACATGCCTATAGCAGAAAATTTGGAAAATAGAAGAAAGGTATATTCTTATCTTTTATAGATAAGAATTACTATTACGATTACTGTTATAATTTTCATCTGTTTCCTGCCTGTCTTTTTTTTTCTGTTTGTCTAAATGTACATACACCTGCATTTTGTTTATTTCTGACAAGGATCACACTATGTTTTCTGGCTGGTGTTTTCTTCACAATCCATTCTTCTATTCTTTATAATTTATCTTGGTCAAAGTATATGAGCAGTTTTATGATTCAATATTTGTTGTCAAGTTGCTCTTCAGAAAGATTGTATAATTTAAAAGTATGTTTATGAAGAATTTTGTTCTCTTTAAATTTTAGGATAGACCACTATCTTGTTGAGCTCTTTTAAATGAAGTTCTACTTGGATACAAAGATGAGGACTAGATAACTTCTTGAGGGTCCTTCTAACCCCTAAGATGAAGATAATAACTAACATTTGTATAGTGCTCTAAAGTTTACAGAGTGAGTTCTCATACATCATCTCACTTGATCCTCACAACAGCCCTGTGAGGTAGGTAGGACAGGTATTGTTATTCTCATTTTAGAGATAAAGAAACTGATAGAGAGGTTAAGTGACTTGATCAAGTTTTATTTGAATGTTCTAGCTGGGATTTGAATCCAGACCTTCTGTTCTAAAAAATCACATTCTTTTTACAAGATTTCATACAACTGCACATTTCGAATTACTCATACATATTGGCTAGTTAAGTGACATTTGTTCTGTATAGAAATAAACCTAATGACAATATGAATACAGTGTTAATATTTCCTTCAGTGTTCCTGAGTCCTTTTTCATTTCCCCACCTCTTCCAAATTAAACAAATGGCTCTGTCTCTCTTTTGAGTAGGAGAAGGTAATGTAATTATATAGCTATATTAGACACATAGTATTTTCCCCAGCATTTGGGGAAAGGGGAAGTTATATTATGTTTTTTCATTTTTCTCTGTTTTTCTTTTTTTTTTTTTTGTGGGGATGAGTACTACTCAAAAGTACATCTACCTTGCTTACTCTCATACATGTAGCATAGTCTCTAAGTAGTAGGATTTCAGAACTAGAAATTTGGTTCTAGCATGAACCTAGAATCACACTTTTGAAGATACGGCATGCGTTTGTACTACTTTAACCAAAATTGGTATAATTGAGTACTCCAGGTATAGTAGCCTATAACATTCACAAAGGGACAGTAAATAAATGAAAGTGATAGTTGAGGTCAAATTAGGAAAGATTATAGCTAATACTCTCTTTGATTAATTACCTCACAAGGTAGGCATTTATAAAACTGAATTTATTTGGAAGCTTAATAGTGGCAATCTCACATGTTAAGAATAGACCTAGATTTTCAAGACTTTGTAGTATTACATTAAAACTGTCTCATATTATTTTCTGTATTGCCTTTAAATAGTTAACAATCCTAATATTTTTAAAAATTAATTTTTTGTTGTTTTTGTTTTTTTCTAGTTGTTGGTCTTGACGATATTATGGATGAAGGAGTTGTTAAAGAAAGTGGCAATGATACCATTGATGAAGAAGAACTGGTTTTACCTAACAGGAATTTGAGGGACAAAGTAGAAGAAAATTCAGTGAGATCACCAAGAAAATCACCTCGTTTAATGGCACAAGGTAATCCTTCCAAAGAGGTCTAGCTAGTAAATCAGAGATATTGGGAAAGATATGTTAGGTTGTAAACTTGCTAGCAGAGATTATATTTTCTTGATGTTTCCTAATCTAAGCATTTTGATAATAATCAGTTTTGAGATTTTATCAATTTACTGTGTAAATTTCCAGTACCTACTACCCATTTCCCTTTGCCCAGAGGAAATCACTATTAACTCTTTCGGCAGCTTTTATTTTTTTATTTTGGTATTTAACTTCCATATCTCTAAGTAACATGCATTTATTGCTATTTTTTGAATATTCTGATTTAGGTATTAACCTGTTGACTTCCCACTCTGAATAATGAAGATTTTCTTTCCTCTTCTTGTCCCCATCTCACAAAAGAGCAGTTTTCTCATCCTTCCAATATATAATTTTGTTAGATTAGTTATTTATGTTACTATGCCTATATATGCTATTAGAAATGATCCACTTAATAAACTTTTTTTTTTTTGTGCATCCTTTTGTCTTTCTGGTTTAATCATTTTTGTTTCTCATTTGCTTGGTTTACTGTCTACTTACCAGCAATTAACACCCCAGCTGCTCTGCCAGATTTAGATATCTTCCTTAATATATGTGTGCATATCAGATATTCTGTTATCTCTTCAAACCTTTTGATTTGCCCCTGTGTGGGCTGGTGTTAGCTCTATAAGCCTGATGCAAAAGTGTCATTCAGGAATCTCTCTTTATCATTCTTCTGAGGAGTCTGTGCTTTGTATTTTTTTGTAGTTCCTATTTCTTTTTTTTTTGTTGTTTAACTCCTCCATTTTAGTGATGTACTTCTTCCAGTAGTTTGTGAGAAAAAGGAGCACCGAGATACTCTTTTTAAACCTTGTATGGACCCATGGTCTGGTAGGACATAAGATTCAAGATTGGAAATCATTTTCCTTCAGAAATATTGAAGGTGTTGCTCCACTTTCTTCTTAGTGTTGTTGAGAAGTTTATTTGTATTTTTTGGGAGGGAGGTGTGTTACCTACTTTCTTGAAGTTTGTGGAATCTTTTTTTTGAGCTCTAGTGTTTTGATGTTTTATGATAAATGCATCTTGGTGTGGGTGTATTTTATTTGTATTGAGCTAAGTACTCAGTAAGTAGACCCTTTTAGTCTGAAAACTATTGTTCAATTCTGGGAAAATTTCTTGAATTATTTCTTTGTTAATTTCTCTCTTTATTTTCTTAGCTCTTGATTTCTGGAATTATTATTTGTCAGGTAGCAGAGACTGGCCCTTACATTTTCTTTATCTCTGCTACCCTCTCTGTCTTTGTCCTTTTCTTTTACTTGATGAAATTTTCTCATATTTACCTTCCAACTTTTCCATTAAGTTTTGTACTTCTAATTTCTAAATGTTCCCTTTTTGTTTGTTTTGGGAATGGTCTTTTTTTGTAGCATTCTATTTTTATGACTGATTGCTTTTTTGTTTATAAAAATAACTAATGGTGTTTTTTTTTTTAAAGTTTTTATGTCATTTTGTAGTTTCTATTTTCTCTCTGTTGCATTTAAAAAAAAATTTAAAAAGTTTTGTGGCTTCCGTCTTTCCTAGAGGCTTTGCTAAAATATCTGATCCTTGATTATTGCTCAAGTTTAATGGTAGGGAACTAAAACTCTATGGAACTTCTAAGTGCATGGGCTGGATTTTGCCAACTATGAGCATCACTGTATGGTGATCTGACTGTGCTGTTTTTGGCAGAATCCCTAATATCAGAATTTAGGTTATTCCCCATGGGCTCATTGGATTGCTAATACATTAGGGGAGCCCTGAGGGAAGCTGACTGGGGCTTCTCAGCTTTTGGTATATACAGATACACTTACAGTGTACTTTACTGCCATTCTCAACTGTGCCTGATGTTCCTTAGGCTAGAAACCCAGTTTCGCTCTCTCCAGAGAGTAAGGTGTCAGTTTTTGAGTTAGGACCAGGGAAAGGCCAACAGGTGGAGTAGGGGAGAAGAGGGATCTAGGGATCTAATTTCTGCATTTAAAGTGCTTTCAACCTATGCTGGTTTTAACTACCTACCTTCATCTCTTTAGAATCATCTGGGGCCACCAATTCCTAAGGCTTTTGTGGTGTTAGTGTTGTTAGTTTTTGCCAATACTGCCAGCTTAGTGTTTGTCAGTTTTGGGTTTCCTACATCATTCACTTTTTTGTTTTTTTAATTGCCTGGTCTTTGTCAGGCACTCAATTACTTCTTAATCATCTTTTGTTTGGCTTCCAAAATTTTCTGCTGTTTCCAGAAAAAGTGTGTTTAACCTTTCCTTAGTAAGTTACTTAGTATTGAAAGACAGTTTATCCTTTGCAGTTGAATATGCTATTCCTTTGTCATTTTTAGCAACCACTTTGGTGTTAAAAGTTCTTCATTTATTTATTAATGGGTAATGAATGCTAAAAGTTTTTTTATCTATTTTATTTCAAGGATGA